GTGTGGTGACTTTAAAATATTGTGCATGGAGGTAACGTGTGTTACCTGAGACGGCAGTAAAGGATGTTAGGACCCTTCAGTGCTACGGGGTCACCTGTCCCCGTCCTGGTCCCATGAGGGGCCTCGTCCACCCTGCCCGCTGTCCCCGGGTCCCCAGACCTCCTGTGGCTGCCTCTTTCCTGCCTCATTCAGGGAACCTGCTTGGAGCCCCCACCACAGCCAGGGCACCTGGCACCACCCTGCTGGGATGGCGAGGGCTTGCACACCGAGCTGGGCTCTTAGTCACTGTCTGTCCCTTCCAAGAACACACAAGTATCCAAGAGCTTTTAGTCTCCTTTGTTCAGTGCTCCAAACTCAGGCACACAATAGGTGCTCAATAAATGCTTGGGGGGGGGAGGGAGAGTAGGGGGCAGGGCCAGAGGCCCACAGGGAGGGCTGGACTGACATCGGTGGCACCAGCACAAGTGCCCATGGCTGCCCCACCCACAGGGTCAGCTCCTCCCAAACCCTGGCCTGGGTCACCCCCAGTGGCCTGGTGGGTCCACCCACCAGTGGGCAGTGACCTTGGGCTCCCCATAAACCATGGTGCTGCCTCCTCCCCAGCTCTGACCCCACAGCCCAGCCCAGCCCAGTGCCCGGGCAAGGGGCAAGCAGCAGACACCTGAGGGGCTCAGACACACGTGCACACACATGTGGTCACCACAGGTCTGGCGGACAGGATGAGCGGGTCGGGCTCACCTTCGTCCTCTGCTGATGCTGGTAGATCTGCCAGGCGATCTGCACATGCACCGCACACCACCTGCCCGGCTTCTGCAACAAGGCAGGTATACTCAGTGCAAGGCCAAGGCCTCCTCATGCCCCCCGTCGCCCCCAGATTCCTGTTGTCACGGGGCACCCCCACAACCACCCAGAGTCCTCCCCAGCTGTGGACCCTCCCTGAGGTCCCACCACACCCCCTCCTCCCAAGGACACATGCACACGCTCACCCTGACTGCTGTCCGGTATGGGTCGGACACCTGTCGTCAACAGAGGGAGCATTAGGTCTAGGCTCTGAGGCAGCTGAGCCCCAGGGGTGGGTGGGGACACACCTCCACAAAAGGGGGTTTGGGGGGGTCTGGGCTGGTGGGACGTCACCCAGGGAAGGAGGCTTAGGCACCCTGCCACCTACCCCAGGGCTCTTCTGGAAGAGGGTGTGGACAGTGCTGGCCCGGCCTGTTACCTCGATTGGGTTTGAAGTCTGAGGAGAGAGGAGCAGGCACATCTGCGGAGCCCCCAGGCCCGTTCCCACCTTGCCCTGCCTGAGTTGCCCTGCACACGGCCGCCCGGGGGCAGCCTAGCTTCCCACCACACCCTCAGCCTGAGGGTTTCTGCAAAAGCAGAAAGTGGCTCTCGATGCTGCTGTGCCTGGGCCAGGATCTGGGCTGGGGGCCGAGACAGCCTTGTTTCAGGGAAGGTGAGCAAGGAAGCCCAGTCCTGGGGCCTCCTCCTGTGCTGCCCGCCCCACCGACACCTCATCCCAACCCTGAGCTCTCTCGGCTGAGGCGGGTGACAATGCATGAAGCACAGCTCTTGTGGACCCTGGTGCCCACAAGGCCCCGCCCGCTCCTGTCCAGACTGGAGGTCCAGGGGTTCCACACACAGGCTGCGTCCCGTCAGGGGGTACCTATGTCCAGTGTTCTCTCTGCACGCTGCCACCCTCTATCCCTGGGGACACCTCCATGCCCGCCCCACCTCCGGGAGCAGCTGGTACCTTGGGCTGAAAAGCGCCCTGCAGGGACCCAAAGGGGCCTGGGTGTGGGAGCAGGGTGGGCAGTCCCGGGATGGCAGGAGGGAAGGACGGGAAAAACTGCAAAAGAAGTAGGGAGGCGCGTTCCAGGGCTCTGGTGGGGCACTTGGACGTCCTGGTGGGGGTACTGGCCCAGCCCGCTGGTTCCCCAGCCCTCTTCACCCCCCTGCAGTTGGCAGGTGGCAACACAGACAGCCCCAGCCCTGCCCTCCACCCTGCAGCAGTCCATGCAGAATCGCAGGGACACTCACATTGGAATGTCGGAAGTAGGGGCTGTCCAGCTTGGGCGTGTACTTGTCAAACTGGAAGGGAAGAGGGTGAAGAGTGAGGCCTCCCCCCCAGCACGCCAACGCCCTCCACTGGGCCCAGCACCCACCACCCCATCAGGCCAGGGGGTGGCCTGGGGGGCCGTCCCGCCTCCTGCAGCTAGCAGCCAGCCAGCTGTTCCATGGCCCTGAACTGGCCCGCGGCGCCCAGGTTCTCAGACTGGGCACAGCCCCTCCCTGTCCCAATGGTCCCACCATGTAAAGAGGAAGGTGCACACTTGCCCGTCTGGGCATCCCACTGTGCCAGCTGAGACCAGGAGAAGGGGGCTGCAGCCATGATGGGGGGGGGGCATGGAGCCCAGGGCTGGTGGTCAAGTTGTGGGACACACCCAGACCACGGGCAAGGCCTGGTGGGAGCGGAGGGGCCCACACCCCACACAGCAATGGCTCAGGAGACCAGGCCTCTTGGCCTGGGGATCATGGGAGGAGGGCCTGGTTCCCACGGCCCCTCAGTCCTGTCTGGGCCTCCAGGCCCATGCTCTGCTGCAAACCAAGATGCCGATGACCCTATGTGGGGACAACGGGCCCTAAGGCCGTGTCACACGCATGTGGACACGGGGCGCCCGCCCAAGCCCAGGACAGGGGGACCAGAGGGAGACCAGGAGGGGCTGGACAGAAAGACGGACAGAGAGGGACGGTGCGGGCCTGCGTGCATGCGGGCGGAGTGTCTGTGTGTGCCTGCGTGTGTCCCGCCGCCCGGGCCGCCCCGCCCGCCTGCACGGGGGCCTACGCACCGGCGGGGCTGCGGCGGGCGGCAGGAGCGGCGTCGGGGGCAGCCCCGTGGGGAAGGGGGCGAATGTGTGTTGGTGCTGGTGTGTGTGCTGGTGTGTGTGTTGGTGCTGGTGGAACTCCGCCCGCAGCAGAGCCCCCGGGCCCAGGGGGGCGCCGGGCCGCTCGGCGCTCTGGACCAGAAAACGCGCGTTCAGCTCTTGCCTGAGCAGCTCGTGATCTACAAGAGAAAAAGAGAGAGACAGAGAGGCACGTCGGCCGCGGGCTCCCGGCGGGGCGAGGCGGATAGTCACCTGGCACTCCCGGCTTCGGCAGGCCAAGCCGTGGTGGCCACTGGCTACGTGCGGGCCCCAGGGTGGAGGTAATAGAGGTGCCTGTGACCATGTACCAATCAGAATCCCCGCATGAGGCTGGCAATACATGATTGGCTGGCTGAATGAGATCAACAGGCTGGCATCTAAAGACAAGAGAGAACACCGTGAGCCTGGGACCCGCTCGGGCCCACAGGGATCCTGCCCGGCCAGGCTACCCAGACCGGTGTCTCGGCCCATCCCGGGCCGCTGAGCTGTCCCAGACGTCTGGGCTGACTAAGAATGTTAGTAAGAATTTGGAGAGGAGACCCACGGAGACATCCTGAACGACCTAAAATGTGACCCTAAGGAAGCATCTGCAGGCACCAGGGGGCGGGGCACTGTCACCTCAGACCCTTGCACGCCACAATTCGGTCCCCTACACGCTAGAGATGAAAGGTGAGAAGACACAGCCCCCGCGCCCCCGCTGCCTGGCTCCGGACCTGCTCCCACGCGTGCACGACTAAGGCCCTGACAGGAAGCCTCGGCTGCGCGGGGCAGCGGGTCGCCCTAGGAAAGGCGGCCTGCTGGGGCCACCGGAGTACTGGGGCGCTGCGGTGGGGCGGCAAGGGGTCCGAGCGGGGGCGGGGGTTGTGCCTCGGAGGCTGGCACCCCTCCCCGGGGCCGTCCCCCCTCCCCCCATCACGGAGTAGAGGGGAACAGACAGCGACCCCTGTCCCTGCGAAGGGCGCCCGGACCTACCGGCGGGGTGTCCTGGGATGACCAAGCTGTTGGCCGGCAGCGCCGGGGGAGGGGGCAGTGTCGCGGGGGCGGCGAACATGGCCGCCGCGTGGTGCTGGTGCTGGGCCTGCGAGCGCAGCGCCAAGTGTGAGGTAGAGAGGTGGGCGCCAGGCCCGTGCGGCGACAGGGACGCGTGCTTCGCGAGCCCGAGGCTGGCGCTGCTGCTGGCGCTGCTGCTCCTGCTGCAGGGATGGGGGCTCAGTGCCCGCCCGCGGCGCGCACCCCCACCTGCCCGGCCTGCCCCGCCCCCGAGGCCGCGCCCCGCCCCGCGCGCACCTGAGGCTGTGCAGGCCGTTGTGCGCAGCCTGGCCGAGGCCGTGGCCGTGGCCCGGGAAGGCGCCCAGGGGGAGAGGCACGTGTGTCGGGAGCGGGGCCCGGGGCTGCGGGGGCGCGGGCAGCGGCTGCGGGGTGAGGCGGGGCAGGGCGGGGGCTTCCTTCTTGATCAGCGGGCTGGCCGGAGCGCCTGGCGCGGGACCCACGGAGGGCGCGGGGCTGCGCACCGTGGGCAGGAAGGGAGGCTCGGTGCTCAGCTCGCGGCTGCGCTCCAGGCCCGAGACCTTGGGCGCCGCCCCAGCCTTGGCCTCGGACTTCTCTCCCAGAGAGGGGCCTGCGGAGAGAGGCGCCGAGTGAGCAGCGGGCCCGGCGCGTTGAATGCGGTCCACCTCCTGTGAGGGGTCCTGTCCTCGCGCGTCTCTGACGCGGCCAGGCAGCGCAGTCACACCAGGGTCCTGCCCCCCACCGCTCACTCCCAGAGGGGCAACTGCCCTTAAGTGTTCTGATCTTGGCAACCCCACCAGGGGATGCTGCGACCCCATTTTACAGATGGGGGCACCAAGCTGCCGCAGACTAGGCCCACAAGGGTGCTGGGCTTCCCGCCTGTGCCACCTAGATGCCCACCTGTGGCTGGAGCTTCGCTTGCTGCCTTGGTCCACTCTTTTTGGAATGACCCAGGTGACCCATGGCCTGAGTCCTCTTTGGGCCCATGGATGAGGGAGCCTCCTTCTGGGGAGGGAGGAAGCTGCCGCTCCCCCACACTGCCTGGGAAGGTGGGGAGGAGGATGGACGACGTGGCCTGGTCCCTCGTCACCTGCCAGTGACTCTACAGCTGTGGGCCTCTGCTCAGTCCATGACCTCAAGCTCCTGCCTGCTTATTCCTCAGGTCACACGCGGGGGGGCACGTGTCCAGGCCAGAGGCACTGCTGCCCATCTAAGCAGCTTTGCCTCGAGGGGCAATATCCAGTTTCTCAAGAGTGGAAATCCGGGTGGCTGAGTGCAGCCACCCAAATGGGCTGCTGGCAGACCCACTTTCTCTGCCGAGTAAAGCCCCGTGACCCAGGCCGGCAGCCAGACAGCAGGTTATGGCAGGCTGGCTGAGGCCTCCGGGATGCCGCCCCCTTGTAAAAACAGGAAACGGCCCCTCTGCCTGTCTCTACCTGTCACCCCAGGGACACAGGCCCCGCCTCCTGTCTCACCTACATCTCGAGAAGCAAGAGCAACCGTCAGGATAGAAAAAGGCAGGCGTGAGCCACCAATGCCCTGGCTCTCCAAAACCTTCTACCCTCCACGGCAAAGGGGTGCCCCCGGCCAGGAACCCCCCCTGACATGCACCGCTGGGTGCCTCACAGCCTTGGCTGGTTCCCTGAGCTCTGCCCACACTCACGAGTGGACCCTGGTAGTGGGCTGAATTGGTCCAAAAATACATGTCCAAACCGTACCTCACTTCTTGTGAACGTGACCTTATTTGGAAAATCAGTATTTGGAGATACGAACAAGCTAAGCATCTCAAGATGAGCTCGCCTTAGAACAGTGTGGGCCCTAAATGCAGTGACAGGAGAAACACGGCCACCAGCCCAGGGGTGCCCAGGTCTGCAGGCAACACCAGAAGCTGCAAGAGGCGGGAAGGACCCGCTCTCGCCTCATGCTCTGCTCCCAGAACCTGACCCAAGACAGCCCCACCGGGCTGCTGTGACATCAGGAGAATGTCCCATCCCTGCCCAGGCCGGGGCCCAGGCCATGGATGTGCTTACCTTTATCGGCTGCCGGGGCAAAGAGCTTCTCAGAGCCCACAGACGCCTGCAAGAGAGAGGAGCGTCAGAGCCAGAGGGACCCCTGGGGCTGGGGTGAACCTGACCCTTACCCCCTGCCCCTGGCACCCAGGAAGCAGCTTTGGGCAGGTTTGGGGCACGAGAGGGCTGCTGGGAGTGGTCAGATGTATCCACTCGCACACACGGTCCCCACGTGGGAGGGTGGCCACACCCAGGCCCAGCTGCCAGCGTGTGGCCACACAGGACGCGGCCTGCAATGGGGGAACCACAATGCCCCCGTCAGCAGGGACGTGGGGGCTCAGCGTGGCCCTGCCACGTGGGAGGCTGGGACGTGGAAGTATGGGCACCACCTGGCAGTGCCAACCCCAGGAACACTGCTCCACTAGGCCTGGCACCCAGATGGAGCAGTCCAGGATGTCCCCCACCCACAGCCAGGGCTGGCCAGACTACAGAACACCGCCTGCCACTATTCAGACTGCCTGAGTCACAGGTCTGGGCGCGGACGTGGCCCCTCAATATGTGGCAGGAGGACCCCCACGGCTCACGGGACAAGCCAGGTAAGACCACCCCCAGTAGACCTTTCTGGTGTTTTTTTTTTAAACGGCGTCACTGAGATATAATTCACAGACCGTATAATTTACCCACTGAAGGTTTTTAGTGTGTTCACAGCCACGAGCAACGATAGCCTCAGTTTTAGAATATTCTCCTCACCCCAAAGCTCGCAGCCCCCAGCCCAGACACCCCTGCTCTGTGTCTGCACACACCCCTAGACTTCTGGGTGTATGAGGCAGCCAGCGGTGCCATTGGGTGGTGTCTGAGGTACCAGAACTGCACCCCACGAGGATGACCATGACCAAAACCCAGAAAACAGTGGGAGCTGGAGAGGACGCCAAGGAGCTTGTGCAGTCTTGGGGGGAATGTGAAATGTGCAGCCACTGCAGCAAGCCGTGTGGTGATTCCTCAGAAATCAAATAAAGGATGACCATATGACCCAGCAGTCCACTTCTGGGTCTATGATGTCTGACACTTAAGTTCGCTAACTTGTTGCAACGGTGCAATCCCTCTTTTTTGAAATCAGAGGGATTATTCATTATGAATTTGTACCAACTGGACAAACAGTGAACCAAGTTTACTATTTGGAAGTGCTGAAAAGGCTGCGTGAAAGAGTTAGACGACCTGAACTTTTCGCCCACAATTCATGGCTCTTGCATCACGACAACGCACCAGCTCACATAGCACTTGTCTGTGAGGGAGTTTTTAGCCAGTAAACAAATAACTGCATTGGAATACCCTCCCTACTCACCTGGTCTGGCCCCCAATGACTTCTTTTGTTATCCGAAGATAAAGGAAATATTGAAAGAAAGACATTTTGATGACATTCAGGACATCAAGAGTAATATGATGACAGCTCTGACGGCCATTCCAGAAAAAGAATTCTAAAATTGTTTTGAAGGGTGGACTAGCTTTCCATGGGGAGTACTTCAAAGGTGACTGTAGTGATATTCAGCAATGAGGTGTGTAGCAATTTTTCTAGGGTGAGTTCGTGAACTTAACTGTCAGACCTCGTATGCCCTAAAGAACTAAAAGTAGGGTCTGAAGGAGAGGCTGGCATACCCACGCTCACAGCAGCGTCCCTCATAACAGCTAAAATGTGGAAGTCACTGAGTGTCCACTGAGGATGGATGCGTTATAAAAGATGTGGTCCATCCACATGGGAACGCCACTCAGCCTTAAAAAGAAAGGACACTCTGACACATGCTCCAACATGGACGGAGTCACAAAAGGCCAAATACCGTGTGACTGCACTTACATGAGGTCCATGGACAAGGCAGATTCATGGAGACAGAAGGCAGATGGTGGTGACAGGGACTGGGGGGTTACTGTTTAATGGGCACAGAGTTTCAATTTGAGAAGGTGACAAAGTTCTGGGGAAGGACAGTGGTGATCACTGTACAACAATGTGAATGCTTAATGCCACCAAACTGTGCACCTAAAAACAGTTAAGATGGTAAATTTTCTCATGTGTATCTTAGCACAATAAATAAAAACTTAAAGAGAAAAAAGCCTGAGGGACTTTTCTGGGACAAGGAAGACATCCTGTGTCTGACCGTGGTGCTGGGTATGTAGCTGCAACATTTGTCAAAACACAGCAAACTATGCTTAAAACAGGTGCATTTTATTGCACACAAATTTCAGTGTAGGAACCTCGACCCCAAGATGCCGTGTGGCCGCAGGACCCACCAGGCGGGCAGGCAGAGATGGGAATCCGAACAGATGGGCACGCGCAGGCCGTGCAGCTGAGGCTGCGAGTGTCTGGGGAAAGGCAGGTCATCCAAACGGATGAGGTGTGATGGGAACTCACTGCTTGGAAAAGGGTCGCCAAGATCCTGTTCTGCTCCCCATACCAGAGTAACTCCAGGCTGACTGCTGACGGAAATGTGAAAGCAAACCGTACCGTATGACGACCCACCGTGGCCTGGCACTGTATGACTATGCTGGAATGGGGTCACCTCTCGGCAACCATGTCCCCAAAACCCAAACGGAAGAAAACGGTGGCAAACGCAGTCCCGAACACAGCACATGAGGTCAGGGACTGGGACCCCTGACAGGCAGGGACACAGCCCACGGTCGGCCACAAAACCAGAGGGTCCCAGACAGGAAAGGTGGGAGCACAGGCCCCACCCCACCCACACGACAGACCACTTGTGACCCTCCTCACGCACCCAGGTGGATACAGGCTCAGTCACGCTTCTACTCAGGAGCACCATGGCCGTGACGGCTTCCTGCATTTGTCTTCACGCTGGTTTGTTTTTCCTGGCACACTCTACATGTTGAGTATAGGCCGTTAGGTATTCGAGTCCCTGGATTGTCACTTCGCCCCAAAGAGTCCCCATGGGGGTCTACAGGAGCAGGATGGGGTGGGGTGTCAGTCCTGGGGGGCCGCTGGCAGTGCCAGCCCTGCCTGCCCTCAGGGCCCATGCCGATGGAGAAGAAAGGTGTGTCTGCACATGAGGACACCTCAGACCCTGCCCAAAATCTGCCTGGGAGTTGCGGTGTGAGGCCAGGTGCATTCCTGATCACTGCACCCCGCCTGTGGGCGCATGAGTCACCTGCCCGCCCACTGGCCTAGGGCTGCCTGCAGACCCTTGGGCCTTCCCAAGTTGGGTCCTCCGGACCCAAGAGGGTGGAACTCCCCTTTAATGAGGCTGTCCCCTTATAGTCTTCATTATGTGCTGCTCTGACAGTCCCTCTGGGCCGTGGGAGCGGCCTCCAGGGTCCCCAGCCATTGCCACAGGGCCCCTATCTCCCGTTGGGGACAGATGAACTGAAGAGTTCTGGGCCCAGCCGGCAGCTGTCTTTATGCTCCAGGGGTGTGGGCCCTGGGCAGGGAGGCCCCAGGAAGGAGGGGGCTGAGGCCTGTGCCCACCTGGTCTGGAAGTCCTCTAAGGTGGGTGGAGAGGAGAAGCTGGTGTGCGACTTGGGTCCCACAGCACCCAATGGCAGGTCTGCAGCTCCTGCCCTGGGTGGAACCCCTGTGGCACCCCTCCAAGTATCGCCATGTGACTCACACCACCATCTGAGCAAGGCCGTGTCAGAGGGGAAGGCTGCGGAGGCCTTGCTCAGAAAACACGTTTGTTCTCATGGGGCATGACTCCTCGTGGTGCCACCCTGGAGGGCGGGCAAGTTCATCTCAGGCCGCCGCCCCCCAACCCCAGCCCGGTTCTGGTTCGGTGCAAGGCATGGGCCAGAGCACGGGCTCCCAGGGCCAGGAGGTGGCGCCTCACACACTGGAAAAGTCAGGGGTGGGGGGGCGGGGTTGGGGAACACGCTCAGTCCGCGGGCTGAAAACGGAAGCTCTGGTGTCTTCCACACCCCTCCGGGCCCCTGGGACGCCGCCCTGGCAAAGGCAAGCGGGAAGGCCACGCTCCTAGGTCCGGCGGGTCCCCAGGCCCCACTCTGTCACAGTTCAAGTTTGCTCAGGGAAGTTGAGGGATTCCCGTTCCCAGGGGTCCTGGGTAGGGAAGGTGGGCACCCACTGCACAGTGAGGGCCTGGCGTCTGGCCGGGCCCGGCCACGCCCATCCGGGGACAGACGCCCGCAGGCACAGGACCTCTGGGGGGCCCTGGCCCAGGCTGCAGCCCCTTCCCGGTGCACGGACAGAGGCGCGCCTGCTGGGACTCGCCCCTGCAAGCAGGCCCTCTGCTCTCTACTCCAGGAGGCGGGGTGTGGAGCTGGGGAGCAGACTCAAGGGTGGTGGGCAGCCCCAGACCTGAGAGAATAACTTCCCCAGGATTCTCTCCCAGGATGTGCCCCAGGGGCTCCCGGGGCCACATCCTTCTCCAGCCCTGGCACTGAGCCTATTTGGGGGTGGAAGGAAAGGGTCAGTCCAGGCCAAAGTACAGGTGGGAGGTCCCCGGCCTGCAGGTTCTGGGTCCCGGTGGACGGGTACGCCCGGCAGGGAGAGTGTCAGGGCCAGCGTTCACTTTCCTGAGGTGAGTAATCCCGGCCGCGGCCGGCGGTCACGGCGCGCTTTGTCTGCGAGGACAGACCCGCGGGGCAGCCTCGGCCGAGACACGCGGCACAGCCTCCGCCGGCCGCGCCCCGCCCCAGACAAAGAACTCCAACTCCGGGCAGGTGAACGCGGCGGGCGCCAGGAACCCGGGTGGCCGAGATCGCGTCGGGGCGCAGACAAAGGCGCGCGCCCCACACGACGCCCGGCCCCGCCTACACCGCGGGTCCCCCCAGCGCCCTGGCCGAGGCCCGGGACCCTCTGCCGGGCTGCACCCCTGCCCGCCTGTCGCCACGTGCGCCCCCGGGGCTCGACCGGAGGGACGCGGGGGTCTCCCCGCACTCGGCTCCGGGGAGAGACGGGGTGGGCAGGGCGCCGGGGGCCGGCGCCTCGCTCCTCCAGAGGGGGCGGCTGCTCCCTCGACCCCGGTCCCTCAAGCCCCCGGTCCCTCCCCGAAGCCACCGGCGCGCACTCACCGCGCGGCCGCCCCGAGTCCAGCGCGCTCTGCGGGCGATCGC